TTTGATTCGGTTCTTTATTTTTGTCATACGAACACAGCTATAGTGTAGTTATGCCGATGAAAATCTTAGGTCAATCCAACAATGCAACACAATAACGCAGAAAAATTGTAAGTAAATACAAAAAGAAAAATTGTTTAAAAAGTGAAATAGTGCAATAAGAGTCTATATGCAAGTCAATGGAATGATATATTAGAGAAATAGATAAATAATTACTAAGTAGCAGATGAATGTTATGGATGTTGTTTCAGCAGTTCAGTTGTTTAGCAGTCTTATTGTCTGTGGTATGAAACTGTCTCCGGTGGTTTTAGTCCGGATGCTGCGGTAACGCCTGCCTGACAACAGCAGACGGAACAGTTTGTGGCTGGGGTGATGGGGGTCTTTTATAATCCGGAGGGATTTCTTCCTGAGCCGCTGGGAGTAAAGGTCCTCCATGNCCCTCTGTAAAGCCTTACGATTGAGGGCGGTGCAGCTCCCGTACCAGGCCGTGATGCAGCCAGTCAGGATACTCTCTATGGTGCACCTGTGGAAGGTCAGGAGACTCTCTATGGTGCACCTGTAGAAGGTCAGGAGACTCTCTATGGTGCACTTGTAGAAGGTCAGGAGACTCTCTATGGTGCACTTGTAGAAGGTCAGGAGACTCTCTATGGTGCACCTGTAGAAGGTCAGGAGACTCTCTATGGTGCACTTGTAGAAGGTCAGGAGACTCTCTATGGTGCACCTGTAGAAGGTCAGGAGACTCTCTATGGTGCACCTGTAGAAGTTGCAGAGTATCCTGGAGTCCATGTTGAACCTCCTCAGCCTGCGGAGGAAGAAGAGCCGCTGTCGAGCTTTTTTGGTGGTGGTGTGAAGAGTCCATGTCAGGTCCTCAGTGATGTGGACACCGAGGGACCTGAAGCTGCTGACTCTCTCCACGTAGTCCCATTGATGGCGATGGGGGCGTGTCCCTCTCTCTGCTGCTTCCTGTAATCCACAATCAGCTCCTTTGTTTTGCTGACGTTGAGATGGAGGTTGTTATCCTGGCACCAAGATGTCAGGTTTTCAACCTCCTCTCTGTACGCCGTCTCATCGCCGTCTGTGATCTGGCCGATGACGGTCGTGTCGTCAGCAAACGTCATGATGGTGTTGGAGCTGTGTATGGCCACGCAGTCGTGAGTGAACAGGGAGTAGAGGAGAGGGCTGAGCACGCAGCCTTGAGGGGCTCCGGTGTTGAGGATCAGGGTGGAGGATGTGATGTTTCCCACCCGCACCGCCTGGGGTCTGCCCGTCAGGAAGTTCAGGATCCAGTCACAGAGGGCGCTGTTGAGCCCGAGGTCTCTGAGCTTGATGACCAGCTTGGAGGGCACAATGATATTGAATGCTGAACTGTAATCAATGAACAGCATTCTCACATACTGTATGTGTTCCTCCGGTCCAGTTGTGAGAGGGCAGTGTGGATGGTGAGGGCTATGGCGTCGTCTGTGGACCTGTTTGCTCTGTAGGCAAACTGCAGGGGGTCCAGAGAGTCAGGGAGGGAGGAGGTGATGAATGATTTGACTAACCGCTCAAAGCACATTATGATGGCGGTGAGTGCTACTGGGCGGTAGTCATTGAGGCTGGTGATTTTTGTCTTTTTGGGGACAGGAACGATAGTGGAGTGTTTAAAACATGTGGGGACAACAGACTGCAGCAGGGACCTTTCCTTCTGTGTCCTTTACTTTACAAACTGTTCACTCATTCCTTTCAATACTAATAGCTAGCATGCAACACCTCGAAGACAACTTAACATTCAAATGTTACATTTAATGATGTGATACTTTTCCTGGCAACAGATCGATATGAGTTCAGCGCTCATTAAAAACCATTGCACTAAAATGTGTACGAATTTGACCATCATGTGTCAGTGTGCCAGTTATCGACTTTAGGCTTAAACAAAGTGACTACATTTTTGGAAATGCAATTCTGCACTTCCTCTTCCCTAAAGGCTGAGAACAAATTATCGAACAAGCTGTGACTCACTCTGAACTACACCCAAATCCTGAGACAACAGAGAACTTCTCAAACTGTTTTTCTCATCTTTCTATCCTCAAAGCCTCATAAATAGGTAAATAGTTTAAAACACTTTTCTCCCCTTAGATCACCACCCAAGAACCTTTATCAGTACGTCTGCTTTTAAACTGCACTGTCATGAAATGTTAGCTGCCTGATCAGCACTCATTCTCATCAAAAATCAATTTGGACCTACTGCTGAGGAGTAATTGAGTGTGTTATTTCCTCTCATTGACTCAGAGGGTTTATCTGTCCGCAGAGAAGCATCATTATCTACAGACAAACACACACAAGGAATTTATTAGTTTACTTTGGGCTTAGTTAACAGTATTGTGGGGTTACAATGATCAAATAGAAATCAGTAAACTAAATGTTATGGTATTCTGAGCATTTTGTAAAGCTGAGAAATAAGAAAAGGGATGCTCCCGTTCTTTGATTTCCCTTGCTGATTTTAGCTTATTTTCAATTCTTTCATTATACATTTTTGAGACTATAAAATGTGAGAAACTAGTGAAAAATCACTATTTCCTAAAATCCAACAAATTATATTTTATTTGAATTGTCAGCAACACCTACTCAACACTTTACTGAAAGGTCTCTGAAGGAGTCTGAATTCAAACTTAAGTAAGAAAAACACATCGTCGAAATACAAGATTCCACTTTATGTTTCTAAAACTCAAGTTTAATTGCTTAACTCTAAAGCTAGAGAGGATGCAATGCACCTTAAAAATACCTCATTCACACCAACGCAACTCCGGTTCAAGCTCCGTGCTAGAGCTTTTCAGGTTCAGAACCGGTTCTTCGGTTTAGCTCCGGCTCTTTTCACACTGCCCAGAGTCCGACTGGTGCTGCGTCATTGCGTCATCGTTTGCGTCATGACGTAACCGTTTGCGTGCCTGCTTCATAAAGCCAAACCGCGGAAACCCCTCACAGCTGACACCGAAAACAACAACAATGGCAGATTGTGCTCCAGCTTCCTCTGTACCTCTTCGGAAGACCAGATTCCCAGTAGTTAGCTGCTCTCTTCAGTGGACCACTGCTGCTTGTTAAGTTTCTCCATCGTTGTGTACAAACCCGATAAAACGCCGGCTTTTTGTTGTTGTTCAGGAGTTGATCCCGCCCCTGCCCCCGCCTCGACGTAAGCGTGACGTATGCGGTGCTTTTGCTCTGGCCGGACAATTTTTTGGTGCTTGAAACGAACCGGATTCCGGAGCTAAGAGGCTGCCCCGCTGCTGTGTGAACAGGAAAACCCGGTGCTTTTCAAGCTCCAGCTCCGAACCGGCCCTGAAACATCGTTGGTGTGAATGAGGTAAAAGTGAACCAATAAGCAGAAAATGTCTGGATTTCAGAGGATTACTGAGGGACGCAAGACACAATTTTTGTTATGTTTTAAGGCTTGCATAGTAACATGTGAGAAGTCTGCTGAGCAAGTTGGATTTTTAAATCATTTAACCAAAGAAAAACCCATCTTAATTTAAAATTACAATAGCCAGCAGCACTAGCGCTTGTTGATCTAGCGATACATTCACCAAGTTGGCAACACTGACAGCACATCCCCTCAGGCCTCCTCCAGAGCCCTTCACCCAACATGATCATGTAACATAAATAAAAAAGACAAACATAGCTCTGGATAGTATTAGAGCTGTCACAGGTAAGTAGAGAGGCAGGAAGGCAGTATAACAGCCAATTCACAGCAACAGATGGCATGTTTGTTTTGGTCAAAGCAGTTTATTTATTGGTTGCTGTCGAGATGTAAGGGGTATTTCCACAAGTATAAGGAAAATGTTTTTTAAATACATAACCCACTATAGCGTTTGGCTAATCTTTTGTTTCTTAAGCAGCAAGGCATGTCCTGTACTGTCCCACTCTGACCCTGTATTACTATCCTTTAAACTATCGAATAACAGTAATATTAAACACAATACAATGCAGAATAACATCAGTTCCCCATTGATTTTAATCAACATTAGAGCATCCAATGCATAAAATACCTGCTTGAAATGGCCATTAAATTAATTAACTGGCTCTTTAGATGTCCGTAACTGGTAATAAAACAGTAATTAACCTAATTCTCCAACTCACGCCTCTAATACTTGTGCAGACTCAGCTGCTATTTGAGCAGGTTTATGTTGTTAGTTTATGTTGTGCAGAAAAAAAGGTAATTTGACACACCAAAACATCATTTTCGATTCTCCTTGGAGGATAGTGCAATGTGTTTCTCGTATATTTAGGATTAAAGTTAATGCTTTTGCTCGTCCCAGTCCTGGTATTGATCATTCTTCTGTAGTCACACCAGCTCTTAATGGCCTCACAGCCATGAATATTAGATACACTTCCCTTCACCCCTCAGCGCAAATATGATGAGCTAGCCTGACGAGGCTTAGCGGAAACAAACACAGTGCTGTATGAGTATCACAAATAATGAAATCAGACTGTACTTTCAATATTGCGTGAATGAATGCGCAAACAGGAAAAGCAGAATCAATCAAGGTCATAATATTGTTTGTCAGAAGTCATTGTTTTTGTCTGCTCTCTGTCGGCCTGGTTTTATGTATTAATGGAAGCTTTACAGTCATGCAGTGATAGCGGATATTCTCCTGAGTTAGATTAGCCCCAATAAGAGCATAGTAACAGAGATGTTGGGTTACAGCCCATTATGTCTGGGAGAGAGAGAGAGAGGTGAGGGAGGGAGAGGAGGGTGTGACAGAGACACAAGCAAAGATCATCTTCATACAATTTGAACTCCCGTTACTCTGCTCTCTCAGCACAGCTCGTCACCGGACGGGCCTCATCTCTGTCTTGTTGCAGTTTGTTGGACACTTCTATATTTTCTGCATCTTTACTGGTCTATTGCAAGATGCTTTGACCAAAGCTTCCCAGATGTTCTTCTGAGAGATGTGTGAGCAGGTTGGAGTTTCCCTCCACATTGCTAATCGTACTTGAAGGAGCTGTGTCTCTGACACAAAGGAAGAGACATGGCAGGGGACCTCGTGGTGGGGATGCTCTATAACTTATTACTGCCACTGCTCCTTCTGGCTGGTGAGTCTGTTTTATTCACGTGCATGTAAACTGAAAAAAATGCATTTCTTGTCTTCTAGTCCCTATTCAGATTTTAGCTAGGGGAAAATAGGTCATTTTAGGCTAAGGTCTACAAAATGGTAAGTCTGCTGCCATTTCTGATCCTGAGATCCAGTTAGAGTTGTCGTTAGGTTTCAAGTGATGAAATGCAAACTAAGCTGCTTTTTGTGGTGGATATTATTTCTTTATAGTATAAACATTATGTTAATTTTCATATACTGTTTAGAATTCATTACTTTAGTGAAAACGGGTTGTATTAAAAGGCAGCATATAGATGAGTACGAGTTATTGTAGTAAAGCAAGTAAATGTGTGCTTATTGTTGCAGATGGTTGACCTTTTGTTTGTCCAGTTCTAAGGGAAATGAAACGGGAAAAAAATGATTCAGTTTTAGGGATTACTGTTTTCCAGGCACTATTTGTGGTAATCTATGAAATCAAGCATGCCGCTATGCGCAGCAAAGGAGATGCTTAACCTCACAAAATGTGTGATGAATTCACACATTTAAGATTTAAATTTGATCTGCTGATGGTCAAAATGTTTTTCAGCCGTCAAACAAGTTATATGCTACTGCCGTGAATGTCTTCTTTCATTAGTGAATAACAGGAAATATGTGATACAGAGCAAAATAAAACATAACTTAAATAGGTATCTTGCAAAGTGAAACTGCATAACAAATACGGATATAAGGCAATTTCACACATTATTATTTCATATAAACTTGTTTAACCCAGTGTCTTATTTACCAGACAAAGAGTCACACAGAGACTGACAAAGCTTATTATTTCATAATGAGAACAATCTGAAAATCCAGAGCTTGAAAGCAACTATGTACATTTACTCTTGATTTATATACAAGAGTATAGGCGTGTGGCGCAGTGGATAGAGCCTTGGTGGTGGGATCAGGGGGTCACAGGTTCAAACCCCACTGCAGTCAGCATGTCGTTGTGTCCCTGGGCAAGACACTTCACCCCAAATTGCTCCTGTGGGGATTGTCCACAGTATTGAGTATGTAAGTCGCTTTGGATAAAAGCGTCTAACATGTAATGTAATATACATTGACGTACTTTTCACCACAGGCAGATATTCTACTTTTCATTTAAATTACATTTATTTAATAACCTAAATTACAAGCTACTTAACAGATACAGATTAATAATAAAACATGGAATATAAAAATAAATTAAGATATGTAATTTTTGGTAATTGTTAAAAAATCTCAATTGGCACTGGTTTCTGTATTCCATGTTTTTTTTTTAGCAATTCATGGTTTAGATGAGCTGTGGCTATTTCATTTAAGAATACATTTGTATTGGTTCAAACATTACAAATTAGGCATGAAGCAGGTTGCAATCACATTTGCCGCTTTGTTTTCTAGTTTTGATGGTTAATGTGACCTGTTTCGAAGAATACAAAAATTGAAGTACAGTAACTAAAACCAGTTCTATTAAACAGATGAAGTGTTTGCGCTCTTTCCTCTGCCCCTCAGCGTCTTCATTCCGCTACAATGGTCTGTCGGTGGTGTATTTTCTGTTTCTCCTCACCTTGCCCCTGCTGCCGAACCCCAGCCTGGTCACTATGAAAGGTGAGAGCGGCTACAGAGACCAATACCATCACTATATGGACATTTAGTGGTGTAAGACGTGGAAAAGAAATGTGATGAAAAATGCATTTTAAATTCAAGTGATCTAAACTAATTATGTTCCATACGCATTATTAAAATTGATCTCACAGGTTTTTGCTCGGAATCACTAGAAAGAAAGTCTTAATGCATACATCTAATTCAAATTCATTTTACGGTCCTCTTAAGGTTTTTGGTCCCTTGTATCTGCAATTTAAGAACGATTCACATGAAAACTTAGATTAAATCACCATGTACAAATTATTCGTTATGTTCCTTTGTCTACTAATAAGCCAGTTTTAAGTATTTTTAACAATTTCTAGTTGATACACTTTAATAATTTCAAGGTTGTGTATATTTTAGGGCTGTAAAATGATTACACAATTTTTAATCAGATTAATCAACAGGCTTAAAAAATTAATTAATCATGATTATAACACCATTACTATGTCCAAAATATGCCATTTCTTTATGTATATTGTTGTGGGAATGTGGGAAGAAGATAAATGAAAGAACGTGGATGTGAGACTGACCGTTGAGCCGGCCCAGACCAAACAGGAAGCGAACGTCGCAGATATAAACCGACGTGGACATATATATAAACCCCGGCTGACCGTGGGGCAATTTAT